CAGTTCCTCCCATTAATATCAATGAATGTTCAATCATTTCACACACCTTTTCTATCTTTTCTTCTCTATCATTAATACTAGATGCTGCTTCTGCATATTTTGTTGACCATACACTATACTCTTCTTCTGATATAGTACGATATGCTATACAAAGTGTTCTAAGTCCTTTTAATTTTTATTTTTTGTAATTTTTAATATAATTAATATATATTATATATTGGATATATTGGATATATGTTTATATATAAATACCTTCTTTAGCGAAAACTTCAAGATCTTCTAAAGTTTCTTGTCTTAATTCTGATTGAGATCCTTTTTCTAAACGTTCATATATTACACTATCAGCACCTTTACACAATAAAACTATTCCTCCGTCAGGTGAACGTAGAATGACTGACATTCTTTTTCTGGTGCTATTAAATTCCAAGACATTTAACAATATAAACTCTTTATATTCACCCATCACTTCAATTGCTAAAGTATCCTGGCACCGTTCAAGAAATACAAATCCAACATCTCTTGCACAGCTAACTAAAGCAGCCTCATCTGGTGATTGAGCTTTATAATCAATTTCATAAGGATCATTTTCATTGGGATGTTCAACTAGTACAGTGTGACAAAGTGCTAATGCGGAAAAGAAATTTTGGATAGCTTTTGATTGTTGCTCCATAACTTTTAAATCCTGGTATAATTTTGAATCAATGAATGTAAGTTTTTGGGAGGTGTATTTATTTTCAAATAAATTTGACATTTCTTTTAACATTAATTTTTTCTCTGCCTCCAAATCAACTTCATCATCATCATCATCACCATCACCTCTCATCTTTCCACCACTATTAAGCCGTTCTTGTAATTTTGCACCACGCATAGCATCTGTTTCACCTAATCCATATGTAACACCATTGATTGTACATTTACGAAACTCCATAACATTTTGTGTCAAGGTGCCAGTTTTATCAGAAAAAATATATTCAATTTGGCCTAAATCATCAGCAATATTCCAAGTTTTTGGAACGCATGGATAATCAAGTTTTTCATAATACATTTCAATATCTGAATGAATAAAATATGCCTTACAAATAAAAAGATATGCATGTGCGTTTGTATGATTAAATAAATTATTTTGCAAATATAATAAATATTTGTATCATCGTTATTATAATATGTTATATTAATTTACCTGTACAGTTTTCACCACTTCGATTGTAACATATAATGAAATTGGTACAATATTTTGAAATAAAACTAAACTTGTCCTAAAAAAAAAAATTTAAAATAAATGATTGATTGATTGATTGCATATAAAAATTAAATATACTTGATTGTTCTCACTCAAAATTATATGCCTTTCATACCAAAATATTAAAAACCCACTAAATAATGCACCACCTTCAACGTTTCCTTCATATCCAAAAATATCTGCAGAACTTCGAGGTTGAATAAAATATATCATTCGAGCTATACCTGAACCTAAGCAAAGCAAGAACAATATAATAAAATTCATAGTAACCTATAAAAAAAAAAATAATAAATCAATTTATTTGATGATAAATTTTAATTTTTCTCAAAGATAACTTTAAAAAAAAAACACACACATGAAAATTTGTTTCTATTTCTATACGACTCCTTTTACTTGGAGTATCACCAGAATTCAACATGATTTTAGTGTCAGTACCAGTAAATATTACCAATCCTATAACCCATTCAGTATTACGTAGAGTACAACCTCTCAAAAGAACATCATTGATGGTTATTGGCACACTTTTTTCATTGGAATAGTTCATATCATCGCCATCATTGTTGTTGATTCCATTTGAATTATTATTTCCAACCCAATGTAATGTACCATTATATGAATATAGATTGGGATGTGGTGGTTCTGATTCAACATAGAAAAATGTATGCTCACAATCATTTTCTGTTGCCAAAGATGAAGTGGCATTGTTACAATGACGGATTTTGAGATTTGTTTCACCGTCGAGGTTTTTTGTTTCTACATAGCAAAGTCCGTCAGGTTCACTTGTAGAAATTATTATTATATCAGCAGGAACAGAGTCATTATTTCTCAATTGTATAATATCACCAACTCTAACATCTTGCCAACGACTATCTATCCATTTTGCACCATAAATTGATGATATTTCCATTTGACTTGCATAATTCTTATTATTATTTTCATGAATTTTATTTTTCTGTAAACCGTTCAATATACTACGTAAAAATTTAAACCGTTTACGATCACTTCCAGGTACATTAACATTACGCCAATTGGATAATTTGGTTGTTCTTGATTTGTTAAGTGTATTATCTTGGGAGTGACGTTTCCAGTCTTCAAAAGCATCTTTAATTGCAGTCATAATTGTGATGGAGAGCAATGGGGCGGCAGCAACAATAGGAGAAACACCACTACCAATAAGTGGAAAAAGTTGTAGTATGACCAAAAAAAGAAAATATATATTTGCCACTCTACGAAATTGTTCAAATATATTTTTTGGTAGAAAATTTAAAAGGGTATATTTTGAGGTACGTATTTTGTTTGGTACAAAAGATATTTTAGGTTCACCATGCTGATCAAGTTCTTCTGTTGGTAATGGCATGTTGACATACACTCGACGTTTTTGTGATTGTTGTAAATTTGAAGTTGACAATTGTCTTTTATGACCTATTTTTGTTCCATTTTCGGCCTCGCTATCCTCTTTATCTTTATCAGAAAATGTTATATTTGTCATTTTTTTTTTTTAAAAGAAAAGAAAAATTTCACTCAATCTGATAGAAAAACATGCAATTGTTTTTATTAAAGAAGCTCAACTTCTAATTTCATATTTGAAAAAATAAAATCTAATCAGCAAGCATGACGAAATTTCTGTAGTCGTGTAGTGTAACCAACCATACATTTGGGTAGTAGATTCTATTTATAACAATATGTTTCTACATTTGCCATTATATCTAGTCATTGATTTACTACAAATAAGACAAATTAAATAGAATAATTTTCATTCCATCAAAGAAACTTTTTTTCCTATTAACCAATTAATTTGAAATTTATTCTTTTTTGCATAGTGATTTGGAATTTGAAGCCGAAATAGTTGAACCTAATAAATTAATCATATTTACCAGTTAACCGGTTAACGAATTATACATGGTTCCAATCTCTGGTGCATTTTATTTTAAATCTAGTTGGTATATTATTACACCTAACTTTATTATAATTGTTGGTTACAAAAGCAGCAAGTTAAATAAGTTATGATTACTTTTATTTGCACTTTATGCAGAATATAGAAAAAGTTTGAGAATAAATTTTAAATTTGATCTTTTATTATTCAAGCAGTATGAAATATATGTTCCATCTCTCCTTACATATTATTATGAAACTTTAACTTTTAGATTATATAATGTGGTGGACAGGCTGGGACGTGATTGAAATGAAGCTGCAATGTATCCATAGAGCAAAGGGAATGCATACCTCAAAGTGGGATGCTCATAGTAATGCTGAAAATAAAGGTTAATATTATCAATACGCGTGATGATAATGTGCATTTTCTTCAATAAAGAATGATATTTATTTTATCTTGTAGTAATGTCATTTTTATCTTCTTCACCATGAGAGCTTTATCTTTCTTTGACAACATTCTCATCTCAAAAAGATCTCGTGAAGAAGATACAGATTTCTTGCTACTTACCGGAAATCGGTTCAGTCTAAATATTATGAATTACATTGATAATTGTTATTTATTTTCAAACACAACGAACCTAACAAAATGGAAATCCATAAAGAATATATTTCATGTCTATATAAAAGGATCAGGAATAGTGTTAGTTTCCAAAACTATAGAGCTTCGTAACTGTGCAAAAGTCGAAACTAGTTTTGACTTTCGCCTCTTCAAAATGGTTTTAGCAACCAACAATAATTATTGAACGACACAATGAAAACTTAATTAAAACGATTATTATAAATAATTTTGAATTAATATCATAAACACATTCTTCTCGTAGAAATATAAATACAAAATCATCGTTATCGCAGGGAATATAATTACCATTTAGATAAATTTGGCAATCTACTAATTGATGTAATAATAATAGTTAGTTATCCCCTCATTTATGCAATTTATTTTTATACACCATAAATATCCGACCACTTGCGCTGTGTAACGTCAAATGAAAAAAGTGCTTACTAAATAAAGTGCGTTTTCTTAAATAAAACCTTTCCGCCATACTAAATAAACTCATATTTGATATCAAAACCCTATATTACAAAAATTCGGTATGTTATTAATGGAAATATTTAGCAAATCATCCAGAAAAGCAAATTTCCGATTGAATTTTTACATGTAATAAAAGGTCAAATTTTTTTGTTGTAATGTATATTATTATTAGCTTAATAAAACGTGCTTAACGTAACGGACTACGGTGCAGATCATCTATTAGTTCCCTGAGGCTGCTTTTCTATATGTGAAAATAAATTTGAAATTCGTGTCACATGAAGTTTTTTTAAAATATCTTGTTATTTTTATAATAAACTCGAAATTTGTTTGTATTTATACTTCTTGGATCCTTATTCAATGAGGAGACTACTTCTTTAAAGAAAAACAATAGAAAAAGACCTTTTAATACTCTAAAGCCTAAATTGGCTCAAAACAAAAGATTAGAAGATTTTGGGAAATTTAATTAATTTATTAATTGAATCACAAGGGAGCATGTGATCAGCCTCCATAATATAGAATTAGATTTCTGTACAGAAAAAATAATTATAAATTATAAACAAAACTGTGAACAAGAGGAGAGGCATTCATTTTATTGAGAATCATTTTACCGACAGTTCATTTTACTGACAACTCTGGGGGTTACATTTAACCTCCACATAATCAAACAACTAATAAAATGTTAAAATGGTGCACTGTGTGTTGTTGGTAAAATGAACTGTTTAAATTCAAAGAACCTTTCAATATACATAAAGACTTTGGATTTGTTTGCTGTACAAAGATATTTTACACCCTAGAATGGTAGAACAGGAAGATTTGGATGATGAGGAAATGGTTCAAATATTTGATCATCTCAATATTGGTGATGACAATATCACTAAAGATAAAAATGAGATTCATAATGTCAAATATAATATCAATTAAAACTTTACCTAATTTGTTTGTATTTATACTTCTTGGATCCTTATTCAATGAGGAGACTACTTCTTTAAAGAAAAACAATAGAAAAAGACCTTTTAATACTCTAAAGCCTAAATTGGCTCAAAACAAAAGATTAGAAGATTTTGGGAAATTTAATTAATTTATTAATTGAATCACAAGGGAGCATGTGATCAGCCTCCATAATATAGAATTAGATTTCTGTACAGAAAAAATAATTATAAATTATAAACAAAACTGTGAACAAGAGGAGAGGCATTCATTTTATTGAGAATCATTTTACCGACAGTTCATTTTACTGACAACTCTGGGGGTTACATTTAACCTCCACATAATCAAACAACTAATAAAATGTTAAAATGGTGCACTGTGTGTTGTTGGTAAAATGAACTGTTTAAATTCAAAGAACCTTTCAATATACATAAAGACTTTGGATTTGTTTGCTGTACAAAGATATTTTACACCCTAGAATGGTAGAACAGGAAGATTTGGATGATGAGGAAATGGTTCAAATATTTGATCATCTCAATATTGGTGATGACAATATCACTAAAGATAAAAATGAGATTCATAATGTCATGGAATCCTCAATCAAAAATTAAAAATGATTATGAACTTTATCACAAATAAAATTAAAAATAGTAAAATGTAAAAATATAATTGTTAACTTTTATAAATAATTTATTTTTATACATGATGCTTATTATTATTATGTAATTAATATATTATCATTTATCCTCTGGGTGGTACAAGTTATGTACTATATATATAGTTAACGTACACTCCCCCTACCATAAATATCCGATCATTTTAATAATTGGAAACTTGTGCCTCGCGCAGTTCAAAATTTTATTAACCAAACCGGGACTGGTGCATTAAGTTAATTTGAACAAAGTTTTGTTTGCATTATTAATAATGGGAATTTTAAATTAGACAAAAAATTCCGTGATTTTTATGAAAACTAAAACAGTTCAAAACTCCGTTAAAACGTAGATTATGTCATTAAGTAAGTCCACTTAAAATATCTTGAATTATATATGGTTAAAATTTGAGAAAAATTGGTCTAGTATAGACAATGAAACGTAAAAGCTCAAGAATCTGTATTCTGTTGACTTTATTAAATATTTTATATAATAAAATTAATAAAAAATAAATAAAACGTTTAGCAAAAGCCGGTCAGTCAGTATCTTGTTGGATTGCCATGACTATCTATGACGGCTTTCACTCTCCTCGGAACACTATCAACTAAATTCTTTATTACAATTTTTTACCCATTCCTCTTTCAATGCAACAATCAAATCTTTTTTATTTTTAGGATGTAGCATCCTTTCTCGAACTTTTCTTTCTAAAACATTCCACAAATGTTCAATGGGATTAAGGTCGGGACTTTGTGCAGGCCATTGAATATATGAAATTAAATGTTCATCTTTCCATTTAATTGTATCATTTGCTGTATGTGCGGGAGCATTATCATCCTGGAAGGAATATGTCAATTGACCATCTAAACTATCTAAAAAAGGAATTAAATTCTCTCCAAGTATTTTGAACCAGTAATACTAATGGTCCAAGTTTGCCATTTACAAAACAACCCCATACCATAACTCCATCACTGCCATGTTTTACTATTGGGATTAAACAGTCAATGTCATGCTTTTATTGTGTTCTACGCCACACATGATGATGAGAACCACTTTGAAATATTTCAAAACGTGATTCATCGCTCCATATTATTAAATCTCATTCATCAACCCAATTTTTTCTTAGACGACACCATACTAGATGATCTTTTCTATTTTTTTCACTTATAAGAGGTTTTCTCAATCCAGCACGACCATAATAACCTAATTCATGAAGATATCTACGTACAGTTGAAGAACTTACAGGATAAATTAGTTGTTTCATTAAATTGGTCAGTGACATCGAAGAGAGTTTGTGTTCTATCTTTTTAACAATTTTTATAAGACCTCTTTTATCACGAGCTGATGCTATTACTGGTCTACCTGGTCTTAGTGTTGATTTTATTTGCCCTCATCTCTATATCTTGCTATTGTATCGTGAATTGTTGTTTTTTTATGCTCGGTTTTTTTTTGAATTCCTCTTTCGCTTCCCACATACCAATAATCCTTCCGCATTCAAAATCAGAAAGTTCTGTTGATTTCTCATATTATTTTGACTAAAAAAATCTGCGCTTTAAGCTTTAAAATAAAAAAAAGATTATCTAATTTGGTTAGAAATTGATCTTGCAAACAAAAATCAATTTTATTTTTCAAAAAATTACGGGGTGGTCGGATACTTTTTTAAACCCTTTTCACAAACTAATTTATGCTGACACCGTATTGTAAATATATTAATATGTACAGTGCGGATCATCTATACTCAAAAGTTAAAATTTTTGAAATATTATGTAAAAAACTTACCACCATTCAATTCAGCTTTAAAAAGGGAGTCTATTAATCTAAAAAAAAAATTTGTCTCGATTTTTCTTTCCATAGATTTTTTAAATTTGAAAGTTATGCTCAGAAGTGCAACTATAATTTTCGTGTTACAATATTTTGAATCTCACGACCAAATTTGGTAATGATTTTCTTTTAATGTAATATGTTCGTT